CTAGATATACTGTTAAGGATGATAATGTCAGCTTCCTCACAGCAACCTGGCAATGACCTCTGCTCTGACCTGCAGAGACCACGGTCTCAAGAGGTAAAAGACAATTTAGTCCTTTATCCTTTGTGACTGAAATTATTCCAATGCCATAAATTCTAATCAAGGCAACTCCAATTAAAATACATACATACATACATACACACATACATATATATATATATATATATATATATATATAATGTTTCTTTAAAGAGTAATACAAGGAATCTACTAGCAAAACATAATCAGCCAGAAACAACTTCTACCTTGTTTCTCTGCAGCATATACATGTTATATAGAAGGATGAACACAATTCTGAAACATGGGTAACAATGTGGGAAAGGAAAATAAAATCCCAAAGCCAATGCAGAGGTTTGAAAATAAAAACTTGTTTATTTAAATGCATGCAGATTCATTTAACTCCCGTATCACCACTCCATATTTCAAGCATACACAGCATTATGAAAAGATCAAAAGCCCATTAATGAACCAAAGAAAACCACAGTCATCAGATGCAGCACAAAAAACTTAAGATTTAATTTCATTGGAACAAAACCTTGCCAGCAAAGGAAAAAAAAAAAGGCTAGCAGTCAATTTTTAGTTTTTTTCTGTCCTGCAATAATTAAATAGGAAACACTTGTGCTCCAAAATTAGAGGCTTGGTATTGCCCTTGCTATATACTTACAGCTTTTTTTTTTTTTTTATTTGCAGAACTACAGACTGAATCTCAAAGAATAACTTTTTATCATACAGTAAATTACCTTAATATGCAAGTGCATACACTCCCAGCTTTCTTTTCCCTGTCATCTAATTATGTCACAAATTGCCTTCAATTAAACATTAATTAAGCACTAGATCTAACTCCAGGAAAGTCAGCCTCAGTCCACAGGGGTTTTGATGCTTGGGTCAGCCACTTCATTCTCGGGATTTTTTACCCTACTGAGAATTTTATATACAACATACCCTTAGTGTCCATACCAACTTTTGAATCGCAACAATTTATCACACAGCTAAATGTGGTGGGTGCTTTTTCTCTTCGAAGATTTTTTTTTTTCAGAGCAATACTTCATAATTTATACTAGACTTGTTTGAAAATACAGTAAAAAAATGACAAGTAGGATTAGTTAAGTTAGGATCAAATACCAATATGCTTATTTAAGTGAAACTGCTACCTAACATTAACAAAAGCTTTCTCTAGTAAGACCGGTGGTATTTGGCCTGGGCTAGTATTTTGGAGGATATTGCAGAGTAAGACAAGTTGATCTGAAAATTACACTGCCACAAAAGTCAAGAACCATACTCAGTTTCTATGTTACTTAATTAGATTCTATGGTTAAAACAGGAGATATTACTTCATAAATATTTTTTAAAATAAATAACTCACCACAAGATCTTTTACAAATCAAATTCACCCCATACTGGTATTTATGTAACCAAAACAGTATAGCTGTGCTAACCCACATTTCAAAACTGTATTTTCGAGGTAATGAGTTTCAGGAGAGATTCCTTTACCAACATTTTCCACCTAATTTTTGATTACTTTTTCTACTTTTTTGTGGTTTCGTGTAACTTCAGTATCAAAAGTCTTTAGCATGAAGTATGCAAATTCAAAAGAGTCCACTGGTACAAAAGCACAAGTAGAGGATTATAGGCTCCTGGACTACAGGACAGCATTTTCTTTCAAAGAGAAGCAAATTTTTCAAAATGAAAAAAAAAACCAAACCAAAACAAACAAACAAACAAACAAAACAAAAAAAACCCCCAAACAAACAAAAAAAACCCAAAAAAAAACCAAAAAAAAACACCACCAGGAGAAAACAAGCCAGCAAACAACAAGGCGCAACCCCTCTAATCACAGCTACTCCTGTCCTCACCCACAGGGAGCAGCTGCAACACAGTGACAAAGTACATCTTCCCAGACACCTGTACACCAATTCCAGTTGGAAGTTATTTGAAATTGTCAGGAACTTATGCTGGTATTTCTGAGACTTAAAATGCTGCAGCATTCATCTGCTTTGTTACTGATAGCAAAGCACCCGTAACAGAAACAAAATTTTAGTGCCTCTTGTAATTAGTTGTGCTCCTGCCCTTTCCTCACTGGCCAGAGGGACTGTTACTGAAAAGGGACCATTTTGACTGGTAACAAAAACCAAATTTTTGCCACTGTTTCTATGGCATGCAGTGAAATACCAGAACAAGGAAATTTGAGAATAAGTAGGTGAATTTTAGGAAAAGGTACAGGTGAGAAAGGCAGGCCTTTGCAGAAATAAACTCATCCATCAAAAGAAGCTAAGCAGAATGTGTCTGGTAAAAGAAAAGAAAGCTCTTCGCATCTCATCGTTCAACTCTGTTCATCTATATGAAAACAAGACTCATTAAATGTTGCTAACATCAACAAGACACACAAATGCTGGTCATTCATTCCAGCTAAATCAGTAATGATTTTCACAAATCCTTAAAAAATGAAAAGCAGAAGCGTAGAAAAACTTTGTTCTCTAGGGACCTGTCTCCTCTTGACTTTCTAAAATGCTCCTCCCTCACCTGCTTAAGAGATTTGGGGAAAATTTTTACATAGCATGTATTAATTGTTAGCTTTTAAAAATATATTTATTATCTCTGATTACATGAAAGAAGGTTGAAGGAGAAAGTTGTCATTCTCTATGCCAACACCTGTCAATATGTTTACAATAATTTAACTTCAGACACTGCAAACAGAAGTACAAAGTATGCATTCTAACATACTATTCATAACATTAAACAAAGAAAAAACTAAAGGGTGGTGATGTTCCATATTTATGTATCAGAGCTTTAAACACAACTGCACTTGATAATTTTTAGTGTTTACTGCATATCTATCTTAAGGGATGCGCTGTGATATAACATCTAATCATCTTTCTTTTACATTGTCTCAATTTGATCCTCAAATGTATCAAAATTGCCCCACTATCCCTTTTTTGTTGTTGTTATAAAAGTTACTAAAATTAATTGACAAGGGCTGTTGCTAATAGATCTATAGCATCTGTCATAATTCTAACAAAACCTCAAAAAATGGTACACAAGTTCATATCGAGGCAGCTAGACTATTTCACCTACTTTTTTTTACTTGGGAACATCTTTTTAGCACTATAAGGATCAGACTAGCAAACATTTTACACTCACCAGTAGAAAAAGCACAATATATGAATTTTTAGCTTCTTCACTTGTGCTTTTAGTGACATAAATTATATTTTCAGCCCAGAAAGGAGCAAGATACGGTTACACATCATTTCTATATCACACACGACAACTCTAATGAAAGTGTCTGTGTATTTTTCACTACCACTGTAGAACATCCAAATGACAAGGGCTCAAAAAATATCCTGCCTTTTATTAGAATACTTGCTTGATCGAAAAACAAACAGACATTTCACTATCCTGAAATTAAAAGCTCATTTTTTGCTTTCTATATGCCTGGCTGTATTTAATAGAGGGAGCCTAAACATTTGAGCAAATAAAACATATACACACAGCTGAAGATATTTATATTACTCTAGATAACTGGTAGCCTTTTGAATTTTGGACATTATAATTCTTTCCTGGATAAAATGGGCTAAAATAATTATTAAATGCTTTTTGAACATTCAAACTGCTAATGGAAATTATGCTTTCCATGGAAACAAAGATTACTAAGAGGGTGCTTAAAAATGGATGTGATATTCAGTAACAGTCATTACTGCAATCCAGAAATTAAATTTTAGAGGTGTTTAATTATTATTTTTCCTGCATCTGTAATGAAGTTATTTAGTAAAACATTCTGTGCTGCATCTTTCAGTAATGTGCAAAGAATATTACAATGTACAATTGCACATGTTCTTTTGTTTTTAAAAAATCTTGCTGCTCTCATTGCAGGTAAAATACTGAAATCTGAACACTGCTACAGATTTCCTTACAGATTATGAAATCAAAAGTTGAATCTTAGCAAATGGGCTCTCACCCCTTCTCCCTTACAGCTGCATTCCCTTAAAACAAGACCTTTTTCCCTTTGACGTCCACAGATAGAATAACAAAAAATAACTAAGTGCTCCATTTTTATTAAGGTTTGTCTCAGGTCACAAATAGAAATAATTAAAAGGGACTTCTTCAGGAGTGTAGTCCTTCTAAACCCCAAATGTCACAATGTACCATACAGTGCTGCTACAGCTCAGACACCTATCAACATCTATCACCCAAGCACGCGCCTCAACAGCTCTGCTCCCTTTTCTGATTAGAGATCAGAGTTGCTTGAGTTGGCTTACAGGGTGTCATCCATTTGAATGACAGATGTCTGTGTTGGAGTGCCACTCTCACTGCTTTTGTTTTGATTGTGAAATGCTACACTTATCTGGCACAATTTAGACTATTCCAAAATGAATAAAAAATTAAAAGGTAATCTCTTTTTCCACAAGCTTGAGCAGGAATATTTAATTTCTAATTTAAATTCCAAAAACATTAGCTCCACATGCAATACCTTGCTAGGCTTTGTTTACTCAGTATGAATTGTTTTCTACAATAATCTTTCACTTCTCTTCAGCCAGATTTATATTTACCATAAAAAAAATTAACTTTTCAGTTTAATCAAGCCTCAGAAAAAGCTGGTAGCATGTGCAACACACCAGCACCTACCACAATAATTGTAAAAGTACTCCAAGAAAATGATACACACACACACAATTTTATGTTAGAGTCCATGGTTCAAAAAAATTCATAAAACATCTGCAACTTGCACTAAATGCGTCCATTGTTAACAAAAGTTTTCAGGACTGATGCTGTCATTCTGGTAACCAGTTGCAATAGGAGCAGAGGACTCTGAGCCTGCATGCTCCAAGCTACTCTTTCCTACTCACAAGAAAATTGAGAGAAGAAAAAAAAAAAAAAAGAACAGGGGAAGATTGCTCTTCTGGACAACAACATGGTAGCAGTGAAATGAAATACCTAGACAGACTTACCGAAGAGCTTGCTGGGAGTGTCCTCGCTGTCATTTGATTCCACAGGCGCAAGCAAGGGCTCATTCAGCTCGTTGTCTGAAGTAGCTGCCTTGTCCTCACCTCTCAACTCTGCATTCATTTCACTCCGCAGTGACAGCAAGGGCTTACTGACTTGTCCAGCTATCATTGGATCCTAGGATGGGGGGAAAAAAAGAGTGAGGGGGAAAAAAAGTGGCAGCTTTGGTGTGCGTATACTCTCTCTTCCACTCCCTCTCTCTCTCACACACACACATACACATACACATATACACACACACACACACACACACACTCTCTCTCTCTCTCGCTCTCTCTCGCTCTCTCTCTCACTCTCTCTCACTCTCTCTCTCTCTCTCTCTCACTTCATCCAGGCTGCTCCTGCTGTTATTGCTGGCTGCAGTCAAGTGAAGAGCTATTACAGATCCAATGAGTTTTCCATTACTCCCCACCCTATTAAAGCTCAACTAGCATGTGAGAGATTCAGGATGCTTTGGAGAAAAACTTCTATGAAAGCAACATAACCAACACAGCTTTAATTGTGGGATGTGCTTTTTTGTGTGTATGTTTTCACATCTCACCCTGTCCTTAGCATAGTAAGAGAAGAAATTCCTATATGCTCCGATACCACAGGAAAGGAGCCTCCTGTGGGTGCTCCATAGTGATTTAAAGAGGCATCCTCAGCTGTATAACATTAACAAAATCAAATGCACAGTTTCTAGCATTACAGCATTTCTATGAAAATACACAGCATCAAATAGCCATTTCATTACATACTTTTAAAAGAGACACAGTTTTCTTCTAACTCTTCCTGTCGTTGGGATGCTATGCTCCAAAAGTCCATAAAGACACAAACACGGATGTTTCTTTTGAAAATAAAAACCACAGAAAACATTTTCTATAAGATAAAATTAGGGAGGATACTTACACATACAGTTTGCAATTATTCTTGTGTTTGCATCATTATATGCCCCATAAAACATTACACAAATGTACACATCTAAATTTTTTCTTGATCAGAATCTGTTTTATCTTCTGCTCATTGAGGATGTTTGGGGGTCAGGCATTATTTCCAAGCACCCTCGGTTATTCTGCTTGCAAAATAATAAGCATAGTATCATGACAGGACAGAAAGCAGAGTAATAAAAATAACTAAGAAAAAAGAAAAAGAGTAAATGACCTTGTTGATCTCTCTAGCAGCTATTTATTGCAAAGTTCATGCCTAAATGGTTCTTATGCAGAGAACAGGTGACCAGCGAGCAAGTAGGTTGGCTAGCATGTTCCCTCTGTCCTGTCTTCACATTGGTCGATGTTCGCCTGTGGGTTTTATAATGTATTCATGTCTGAAAAGTGAATTTGATATGACACATGATAATCTATGAAAATGTTAATCAATACAAATAGTTTAAGCTGTCATCAAATGCTCTTCTTTAGTCAATACTCATACTGCCGAAAACAATGTCACTGTCACCAGGGCTCAATTTGCACAGCACTTAAATATTGGACTCTGTGCATCAATGCACTCCTCTTCAAATACTGTAGGTAAACACATTTTCTCCCTATTTAAGGCTGAAGCACTCGGCACGCATTTAGTTGAGCCGAATCCTCCCTTTTGAATACCTTGATAGGTCCACTGGAGGGCAAAATTAATACTTAATTGAATCTCACAGTCATCAAAATAATCAATACTTTTTTATTATTTATTCTTTACAGTCTGTTGACTGTTTCAAACCTCTGAGGGAATGGTGGAAAGGATTCATGGCTTTGAAACACTGTCATTTAACAAGGTAATTTTCAGTGGGGCATTAGGGGTTGTGAAACATATAATAAAACAAAAATGGAGGCTTATAATAGGAAGAAAGAAAAGAATTATATTTCTGCCATCTAACAAAACAGGATAAATAAAAAAAGCAAGTGCAAGCAGGAGAGGGAGAAAGGAGGGGGAGAGGGAAAGAAAGACTGGCTTTTGAAGGGTTTTATCATATCAAGAGCAGAGCTGAGCTTTCATAATGCTGACATTTCTCATTCTGACAATCCTAAACAAGTGGAAAGGATGAGATCGCAGATATCATCTTTCATCACATTCCCCAGCTTAAGAACCAACATGACAGCTTCTCTTCCCTTTACACTGTTAATTACTAAATAAAATACTGCTCTCTGTCAGCATTAGATTATTGCAGATAGCAACCACAAACATTACTCCATTGTTTTGGTTTTGTTTTTTTTTAAACCAGTGATACCTACCTTGAACTCTTCAGAAAATAAATTAGGCTTGTGTCTACATATTGTAAATACATGAAACATAATCAATTTAATCAATTTGGTCAATCCATGTTATTGTCAGGCTAAATTGCTGGCAATTTATTAACATTTCATTTACTGTATTTATTAGGCAGCAACAATCTGAACATTTCTTAGATGTTTCTGGAGAGGAAACAAAAACCAACAGATTTCTCTTGCAGACACTGTAAAAAACTCAGAGTTGTTTTGCCTCATACTCATAGTGCACTATGGACAGTCATTTACTGAGGCAAAATTTGTTTGCTTTCATATACTAAATAATGTGTTTTAGCGGGTTTTGCAGCTAAATGTCACTGTGAACACAAACAGCATTGTTTCAGTCAGTGCTGCTTCTCTCAGTTTCAGCTACTCAAAACTAACATCAAGATTAGTTACTAACATCCATAACAAATGTTATGGATGTTAGTAACTATGGATTCACAAATGTGAATCAGGACAAAATTTGACCTTTTTCATCAAAGTTTGGGGAAGGAACTAATCATGTCCACAGAGAAAAACTCCTGATCTGAGGACTAACAGCAATTTAATGGATTTAATGGAATCTGTAGGAATCTGAGAGGATTCTAATTTGCCAGATTCTGAAATGGAATGTATGAAAAATGGGAGGAAGAATAATGTGGGAAGTGTGACAGCACTGGGAGAAACCTCAGCCCTTTGATGACAATGAATTCACAGCAACTTCAACAGAGCCAGGATTTTATTTGTTATGTATTTTAATAATTAGGCCTCATCTGGAGTATTTTGTTCATTTCTGGTTAGCCCAGCTAAGAAAGATACACCAGAAAAAGGTGCAGGAAGAATGGTAAACTGATCGAAAGGACTGGGAGTGCTTACAGAAAAGTGTGACTAAGAATGAGCATGATCAAAGGATACAAGAAAATAAACAGCAGAGAGAAAATGTAGATCAGAAACTATTCACCCTAACTCATCTAAGGAGAAAAGGTGTCTCCTCTGAAATGGGAAAAAGTCATAAGTCTAATAATAATAAATTATATTGTTCCAATCAGTAGGTGGTGGAAAATCTGTTGAACTCATTGCTGCAAGGTATCACTGAGACCCGCACTGCAGTAAACATCAACATAGTCACTCACACGGCTGGGCATACTCTTAGCAGTGAATTTAAAACAGCTTTGCAAACATAGGCAAGGCTTATAAAAAGTGAATTAACATAAACTGCTGCCCCTCCCTCAGGCAGCACAAGAACCTGTAGTTAGCCCCCAGGGTAGCTCTCTCTGTCAGGTGGTAAATGAACGACAACTTTCTCTATGGGCAGATGGATTAGATACTCTCCAAATTTCTAGTCTACCAGAAGACTAAATAAATCACCTAAACAATGACTTAAGGAAAGGTATGTTTCCTTGAAAAACATATTAAAAATTGGACATTTTTAAACTTCAGGTTATCTCCAGACCTTCAATTGCTTTCTGTGCTTAAAAACATGTCTGTTCTGCAGTGAATTATGCATGATTAAAGACTATTGTTTTTGCAAAACACATAATAAATCGTAATTCTAGTGCAAAGCAAGTGGCCTAGTCTGTAAAATCCCTTGGTGGTCAAAGGGGTTTTTCCTATATTTCCTAATGGCCACCCTAAAAAAAATCTGGAGTAGTTTCTATGACAGCTGCAAGCCCAGAAGTCATCTCCTTTTGCCCACCTACAAGTCCATCCCAGAGAGGATGCACAGCACTGGAGAGGATGCATTGAGGCAAGGAATTGTGTATGCATCTTTAGTAGCTAATACTGTCAGGACCTGTTCTTCTTCACTGGATGTCTGTGGGCTTGACACTCAGAATTTGCTTTTTGGAAGGTGCTATAGGTCAGATTGCACTTTGCACTGTTACACTTTGCACTTCTGTTCACTGGCAGCCACACAAAAGTTTCAGCTTTTCATATGCGAAACTGAAAAGTCTAAGAATGCTTAAAACTAGCAAGATGAACTTTGTCAAAAGGGTTTATATGCTTTACATAAGAGGCAAAGGCACATAATGTTAAAAATTTCAGGGTTCAAGTTTTGAGAGAACTAAGGAATCACAATCCCCTTATTCAAAAGATAGCTGTATATACCACACATGTAGTGACAAATTATACACACATCCTTTGCAGATACTCATATAACTTGTCATCTATTTCTTGTCCAGCTAGCAGTAGTACTTCCAGCCTTGCCTGTTTCCTATGAGATCTCCCTGACAGCTTTGTGTTGCAAGTGGTCCTCCCTGCTGTGTGTCTCCCTTAAGGGGTGGCTTATACCTCCTGTAATTCAGTTACAGTATCTGCTACACTACTTTTCAGCTCTACCACTCCCTGATGGTTTAAACTGGCTGTTGGGCTTAATTTAATAGTAAAAATCCTGTGAATTTGCAAATGCAAATTACAGTTCTGGTAACACACCCTCTTCTAAAAGCTACAACTTTTACTTTTTTCTTATTTTAAGAACTGTATGAAGTACAGGACAACATTTATCACTGTGTTAAAAGCTTTGCCTTTGCACTTTAAGGGTAAATGTGCAGTTTCTAAGCAAAACTATTTAGTAATCAAAGACAGCTTTTAAAGTAAACTGTATAGGGTTTGTGTCAAACATGCCCTAGGCAGAAGTCTAAAAATGAATTCCTTTCTTCCTTAATGTAGGACTTGGGTGATAATAGACCTTCATAAAGGCTTCCTGTACTGATTTAGCCACTGGTCTAAATTTTGTACTTACTGCACCATAAACATTGTTGCTCTGAATGTAATTACTTTCTAAATTCTAGTTCAGAGAAAAAGTAGGATCCTCTGTTTTTCTTTTTATTTTGCCCTTAGTTTGAAGTTCATTTGCACAGACTTTTTTCCCCCTACTGTAGAAGTATTAGAAATCAATTT